GCTTTTCAGCCTGTGGACTGTTGATGACCTTACGAAGAGTAAATAAGAAAAGCTGCATGAGAGCTGTGAGTCTTCACAGGGGTTATCCTTCTCCCCGTGTAAGATGTCTTCACTTAGGTAGTTGTTTTTACTAATTTATGGAGCGGGACTCCCGAGCTTTTAAGTGAGTCCAGCTAATGGAGGAATTCCCTTATGTGTATTAAAGGCAGCATAACCAAGGGGGAAGATGATAAACTGAAAGCAGATTTTTTCACACTTTCTCCTTGCCAAAAGACTTGAGTGATGGCAACAATGATTTAGGGATTGCTATTACCTTAAATGGAGAAAGATGGCTGGAGCAGTATTTGGTATAGTAGTGTCATCATTCCCAAGTACTGCTAGTAGAAACTCCTGCAAAGGTCAGAAGACTGTGTTTGAAATAAATTTTAAGATGACAAGTGTGTGTATAGGAAGGATTGTGGTGGTGGGTTGCCCACCTACAAGTGGTGTGGGGATGGGGTTTTTTTTGGTTGTTTTTTGTTTGGTGGTTGTTTTTTTTTCCCCTCTGCAAAAGGGTTTATGTCCTTGGCAGGCTTTCCCATCTCTGGACTTGATTGCCTCAGCCGTCTTAGAAAGAGGAAACCTAGAAAACTTGTTGCATAATATTTTGGGTAAATTGAACGGTTGATGAGACTACTGGGCTTGGCTTCTCATTTCCCTTCTAGGAGGTGGGTGGAAAGAGCCTTGATTTTTGCTAGTGATTAAGGGAGTGGTGTAACAGGAAAGCGTGTTCGAGTGGTTATCTTCATAGAAGAAATTTAGTTTCTTTTAATTATTCCCTGAAGGCAGTGACCAACTGTAGTGGAAGCAGCTGAAGGAGGCTTCACTCCTCCAAACTGTTGTAGAAACTCACCTGCTCCTGGAGTAGTGGATCTGGTCTGTAATGGGTCACCCTGGAGAGTGGTCCAGTGTGTTTTGTACCAGCTGGCACCCGAGCCACCTGCTGTGTCTTTCTAATCTTTTGTAGTTTAGCAGGGCAACTGTTTTGAAGTGTTGGGACTTGCACATCCAGCTTTCACAGAAGAGATAGCAGTGGGGGCCTGGGTATTCAAATCCTGTGGTGTCTGTGTGCTCCTCTAACTTGTCTGGACTTGGTGTCAGTTTAAAGCCAGTGGGTTGGCAGTGGTTTGCATCTGCTGGAATTGTGTTCCTGGTAGTTTTTTAGGCAGTGCTGCCACAAACTCCCTGACCTCCACAAAGCTACTGAGGCTCTGGTCTGGTCTGGGGCTCTCTGGTCGGCCTGGCACCTTCCCACCGCTGCAGGGCAGCTCTCGGCAGTAATGGTACAGCCTCCTGGAGTATTTTGGATATGCTCTGCCATCCCCTAATTCTTTAAACGTCGACTGTAGTCAGCAGCAGTAAGGTCCATTTCTGTTCAAACAGATAAATACTGCGTCTGTTACCTCTAATTTCCGTAAATCCCCCCTGACTGAAGAAGGCCTGCAAGCTGCGGTGGATGTGCGCCCCGGGGCAAATAGTCCCAGTGAAATTTGGGAAGACTCCTTCGAAACCAGCAGCTATTTCAGGCACATTAGTTTAGTCCAGTGCCTGGAGGTAAACCGCACCGCTAATTGCCTTGCAAAGCTCTCCTGCAGGGGCTGTGACAGCAGATTTGGCAGCCCAGCTCCATGGGAGGGAAGCAACTGCTCATAAGAGACTGGTTAGATAGGGGAGCACGGGCATCTGCTCACTCTGGATTTGAGATGTGGCTGATACTGGATCAGTACTTAGTCTGGCACTCTTGCTTTCTGTGTAGTTTTCTTTTTTTTTTTTTTTAAAAAAAAAGCAGCAAACAAAACCCACACAAACAAAAAATAAGCAAACCAAAAAGGGCGGAGGGAATCACATAAAAAAAAAGCAGCAAACAAAACCCACACAAACAAAAAATAAGCAAACCAAAAATGGGCGGAGGGAATCACAGAAATGCCCTGGAGATTACAGAACATGCTGCAATTCTTGGCCCTTGGACAGATAATAAGGAAAATATGAAGAATCCCTCTGAGATTATTATTGTTTTCTTTTTCTGACCTCTCTCTGAAAATACTGCCCTTGTTGGATATAAACTTGCTGCTTTAGCTGATCTACTAATACTGATTCATGAGAGTGAAATGAATTGATTCCAAATTCTCCCTTTTATTTAAAACTTAGCATACTTTACCACTCTATAGGTGTAAAGGGTCAGACAGTGACTTTTGCAGGACAGAAAAATGAAAGTTGAGGCTGGAGGAGGGGTAGGGAGTAACTTCAGCATGTATGTGTTATCTTCCAAATTGGAACCCTGAATTTCTGGATATATTGATAGTGGCACCACATTTTAGTTACCTCGTGATTTTCTTTATAAATACCACTTTCTGTTTCCTTAATGAAACACAGGACTTAAATTGCCCCCCTTCCTTGTGATTGTCCCTTCTAAAGTCAGATTCTGTAAATGATTTTACTTACACTTTTGTATTTTCATAAAGTGAATTTCCTTCCCGTCTTTCAAAGATTGGTAAAGGCCACAGAAGACTTGAGACCTAATTTTAGTTTATGAATAAGTTAATTCCTAAAAAAAAATAAATCTGTTCTTAAGCTCTCAGATGAAGACTTGAGACCTAATTTTAGTTTATGAATAAGTTAATTCCTAAAAAAAATAATCTGTTCTTAAGCTCTCAGAACCTTTTTAGTGTCATGGATACAGGCAAAAGAAAAGACAACAGTTTGAAGGCTGTGATTTTTTCCCTCTTTAAATCTTCAGAGGAGGAAGGTAAAGGGACAATTGGCAGTTGAGATGGTGACTTCTGGGGGCTTTTTCCATGGTGAGATGTTCTGCTGTCTGCAAATAGGCACCTTGCAGCTGCAAAACTTGGACTTGTGCTGGTTTATAATACCATGCCTGTTGGTTGGTTTGGGGTATTTTTGTTGGGATCTATGGGAAGCGGTGAGGAGGGAGTTTGCTTACCCTGGGTGAATGTTCTAAAACAATGGAGAAACTGTTCTTATCCAGAAATGAGCAAGTAGACACCCTCTAAGGAAGGAGTGAATTACAGGAGCTCATGTGTGGCAGGTATCTCTGGTGGGACAGACTGGTAGGATTTTATTGTCAAAGAGGAACATGGTTGTTTTGATGTTTTTGCTACTTAAGGGTGACTGGTTACACAGTGGTGCTGTTGGTACAGAGCTGCTGAGACTCCTGTGTAGGTGTATCCCGAGAGGATAGTTTACTGATGTCTACCTAAAATGCAAAGGAGATGTGCAAAGCTGTTCAGTGTCTCTGCTTGAGGGGTCAGGGGGGTTTTTCAGTGTGGTGCCAAATCTAAATGAGTGGATACACAGCAATCGATACGTACTCTTTCTGTAGCCAACTGCATGATGGTGAGGTTGTGGTATATGAACATAGGTTATATATAGTGTGCACAGCTGGTAAAGTGTGTTAAAGTGGTGATGTGTTCCTCCCAATAAGGCAGCTGCAGCTCAATTGATGAGCTCTGCTGGGAAGCCCATGTCCATGCTGTTAAAAAACCAGGTGTGGATGTGTTCAAAGTGGGGTTCACCGGGGTGCAGTCAGGACAGAGTACTCATGGGCAACTCCAAACTGTAACTGAACAAGAACAAATTCAACTACATTAATAAAACTGCATGCACAGGAGCAGAGTCACTTGTGTTCTGCACTGACAGTGATGTGTCTGGAGAAGATTAGTGGGGTAGTGCGGTAATCTCAGTTAGGTCTTTTTTCTTTTTCTTTTTTTTTCTTCTTTTCCCTCCTATGATATCTGTTAACTTGACTTTGGTTACACTTAAAGGAACCCAGTGGTGTCTTGTTGGTGTCTTTTAATTTGTGTGATGGGAAAGATGCTTCAGTGAGAGCATGAATAAGGAGATGTACCCTGTTTTTGGCCTATCTTCTTAGCACAAGAACACCACCTGCCCTTTCTTGCTTCCTAGAAGCCAATATGTAGTTTTAAAGCATTCCTATTTGCTTACTGGCTTACAGAACTGAATAATGTGGGCAATAGTACTCCTTCAGTTACTGTGGTATTCATTTGGGTGCATACATGCTCCACATGCTGGATTTCTGAACAGCCAGGGCAGTATCCCCATCCACATCCCCAGTGCCTGCTGCAATGGGCAGAGTTATCAGAGTTCAGATTTGTTACACCAATGTGCTAAAAATTCATTCTTTGAAATCTAAACTTGCCATCTTCAGGCAGTATTGTTATCCCAGTATTAAATACTAGGTCACCCAGTCTCTAGAAAGATGTACCAGAATGTGCTTTCCTCTGCAGTTTGGGTGATAAGTTACAGACTGGCAGTATTTGGTGGGGCCCTGTGCTTGGCAATGGGTGACACAGGTGTTTCGTGGCTTATTCTGCTTTCAGGAATTGCTTTTTTTGGAGGGTGTGTGTTCATGGTTAAAGTCATTAAAAATAGGAGAGAAATCCGGGGAACAAAGATGATCCACTAAGTTTTATCAGCTTACAAACTAAGTGCCGTTTGTGCTGCATGGAGTCTTAGCTGGAAGTTGTTATAAAACTAGTTTCTAGAGAAACTAAAGCTAGAATTCTCTAGAATTCTAGAAACAGCTGGGAAAACCTTGGTAATTCCTAGGAATTACTGGCTCTGGGAGTTGGGGATGAAATCTGGGAAACTTTTTAGAATTTCAAAAAAACTCCTAAAGCTTTGCAGAAGTTCCGAGAAACTTAGCAGTTACTGGAAACCTTAAAAGCTGCTAGAAACTAAAAGTTTCTAGGTTCCCTGCTGGGAAGTTCTGGGAATTACCAGAAATCTCTGGAAAATGCTGGAAATTTGTGGGAATCCAGTAAATTCAGTGATTCAGCTAGCGATTTCTACGTTTTTGTGAATGAAGAATAGGAAAGCCGTCACCTGCTATCCTTTTGGATAAAGTGGCAGTTTTAGCATCTTACTTGATGAGTGTCCTGTATGTGCCTGTCTCACACACAAACTTGTTTTATTCTCTGCAGTCCTATTTTGTTACGGATTATGATCCCACGATTGAAGACTCCTACACCAAGCAATGTGTGATAGATGAGAGAGCAGCGCGCCTGGACAGTAAGTAGCCCAGCGACAGCGTGGTACTGACAGCCCAGGGCTGTTGGTGCCTGTATTTACATCCGTGTGCATGAAATATAACACAGGTAAACAAGTGTGCAGCACATGCAGCTTTCATGTAAGCGTGCGGCTGATAAAAGCTAGCTACTTCTGTTTTATTCATGAGACACTCAGGATTTGAAATGCTTATGCCTTACGTATGTCTGTCTCTCTTCAAAGTAAATTGGGTATTTTTTGGAAGAATTATTCCCGAAGCCTCAGTGCCTACAAAACTAGGAGAATTTATATAACTGCTGGCAGTTACCTGGGTGACATGGTAGAATGAAAAACACATCACTTGGCTGTTGTCTGCTGCCTCTCCCAAGTGCAATATAAATGCTTTGCTTTAAAAGTTTGTTCTCCCTTGTCAGTGATTTCTTTAAAGACAAAGCAGCAACCCTCCCAATCTCTATCCCCAAATATCTCTAAGTATGTTTCAGCTGGTTGTGAATTAGCAGAAGTCCACCAAACTTTGTTGTTCAGTTTTTTTGGTAGGTCTTTAATTGTTCAGTCAGTCCAAGAACTTGTTTGGAATATTAGCAAAAATCCAGTAGTATCTGTGAAAAGTGATTTCTCCTTCGTTACGATGTGCAGGAGAGGCTTTCACAATATCCTACTAGGAAGGAATTTATTTTTTTCCTCACTCTACATTCTAAGAACATGAACTGTGTTAATCAGTGTTTTGCTTTTTTTCAGTTCTGGATACAGCAGGACAAGAAGAATTTGGAGCCATGCGTGAACAGTACATGAGGACAGGGGAGGGTTTTCTGCTTGTTTTCTCAGTCACTGATAGAGGAAGGTAAGCCTGATGTCAAATTATTAAAGTTGTCGTTAATCTTAAACTGCTGCTTATCCTTTATTGAAATAATTTCAAACAGAAACATTAAGTATGTGTTCACTTCTAGATTCTGTGGTGTGACACTCTTTCAGCTCCTGATGAAATCCCATTTT